ATCAAGAAGGAAGAAGTATCAATTGAAGATTTGAGTTCCCCTGTTCTCGAATTTGAAAAGGACATCACGCAATTTTGTAGTCCAGGAGAGAAGGAAGCCATGATGGTGTTTTGGAACGGACTAACTTTGAATGAGAAGGAAGGATTCGTCCATGGCTTAAGGTTTATCAAGAAAAAATATAACAAGGAAGGTGAGTTTGATTCTTCTTTTGATGATTCTATTGATAATGTTAAGAAGCTATCATCTGTTAGCCATAGAAACGATATTCTGATGAATTGGAAAGATCTTAATCAAAAAAAAGAAGGAGAAGGTGATTCATAAGTTGTGTACGAGCAAAATCAAAAAACAGGTGGAAGCCAACCTTGGGAAGAACCGAGTGCCCTTTAAATCTACTGCCTCGTTGTTCCCTGTGGCGGTTGACATGAAGAAAACATCTGACCTTGAAGCCTCGGATGGATTGCAAAAAGTGGGAGAAACTTTGCTAAATTTCATTCTTGAAGGAGTTCCAATTTCGAACAATAATACTCCTATGATTGTGGATCTTCAAGAAATCTGCTCTATGCGATCACGGGTAAAGGAAAAGAAAGTTAAAAAGAAGATTGAAATTGATGAAATGGTTAGTCAACAACTTGAACAAGTTTGTAATGAAATTATATTTCACTTTCCCAGCAAGTTCAATCATTTAGAACTTGCTAATGAGGGTGAATTTAAATTCAAGTATGTTGATGATGATGAAGAGAAGTATGAGGGCCAAATGAATATAGATGATAAGGAAGAAATTAGAACAACCGGTTATAATAAAAATGGCGGGCTTCTTATAACCAAGGATATGCTGGAAGAAATGAAGGCTAGTAATGCCAAGGGTAAGGAGGAGATTGCTACCCATGTGCAAGTTCTGGCGGAAGAAAAGAGTGAAGGTAAAGTCTCGTATGCTGAAAAAGTGAGTGGAAAGAAATTGAATGCAGCTAATCTTATATCAAAAATTAAAAAGAATGCAGATCTTCCGGTTGGAGTTGTGGAAATGCCCATTACTGATATTCTGAAAGGCTACAGCCCGTTTAAGACTACGTTGTATGGCTATTTCATTGATAAACATGTTAACTTCTTTAATGTTAACAAGTTTGCTCATAATATGTGGAAGAGATATGGCCTGGAAGAGGTTATGGTAAATGAAGAAGGTATTTATTTCTTTAGATTCAGCTCAGAACAAGGTATGCTAAATGTTCTGGAAGGAGGAGTTTGGATGATTTTTGACAGTGCCCTCATAGTGAGAAGATGGACAACTGGAATAAGCTCAGCTAGAGATCATCATGACAAGGTTCCGGTTTGGGTTAAAATCTATAATGTTCCTTTGGAATATTGGAATGGGACTGGGCTTAGTCATATTGCTTGGGAAATTTGAAAACCTCTTGATGTGGACGCTCATACAGCCAAGATGTGTCAAGAACATTGGGGACGGCCAGCATTTATGAGAATTTTAATTGAAATGTCGGCTGCTAAAGATTGGCTTAAAGAAATAGAAGTATTCTCTTCGGATCTTGTAACTGGTGAAAGAATTTCTTCTAAATGCAAAATCGAATATGCCTGGAATCCATCAAAATGCTCTCATTGCAAGGTTTATGGTCATAGAGATGCTACATGTAGAATTCTTTTAGCTAAGGAGACTAATTCTATCAAGAATTCTAAAGTTGGAGAAGAGAAAAAAGAGGAGAAAAAAATTGATCTCATGGAAGTTCTCATTGCTAGTACAAAATCTGTACAGGAAGATCAAGACGGATTTCAAACTGTAGTCAAAAGAAATAAAGGAACTAATATGGGAGAAAATCTGAAGGAAGAAATGAAGAATAAAAAGCAAAATGTGAATCAAGGGCAAAAAGGGAAAAGATACGGAGGAGAAAAGGCTGAGAATGGAAATAAAGCAAGCATGCAGGGGCAAAAAGGGAATAAAAATGTTAAGACTGGTATGTCGGCTGAAGGAAGTCAATGGAATAAAGGAAAAGGTTCACAGGGGTATAATGGGAAAAATCAAAATATAAAGGGAAGTTTTTATGGCAGAAATTTCGAACAGGGACAGACGAGTAAAAATGATTATTTCTCGAATAAAAGGGAGAATATTGCTACGAGTTTTATGGGTAAAAAGGAATTGGCGGGATCTATTCATGGTAGTGGGAAAAAAGAGGAAGATGTAAAATCTGAAGTTAGAGGAAAAATTAATGTGGCTGGGCAAAAATATGTTCCGAAATCTGGGCTGGATTTCAAAATTAGCTCGAATTTTGATTCTAAACCTCAACCTTTGATGACCAATGGTCCTAAAAATCTTTCAACTAATAATAAATTTGAAGTCCTCAATGATTTGGAAGAAGAGACCCCTTTTGTTTTTTCGAAGAAGGGAGTAGATGAGGCTGATTTAGCTTATTTGGATTCCGTGGATCAAATGGAGGTTATAAGAGGTATCCCTTTGATAGATACCAACATGGAAACCTTTCCCAATGACGATTAGCTTTGGGATTTGGAATGTTAGGGGCTTTAATTTTTCCCCTAAACAAAAAGAGATAAGAAAGTTGATGGATTCTAATAAATTGAGTCTTCTTGCTATTCTGGAACCTCAAGTTAATTTTAATAAACTTGATGTGAATTGTGATAAGATCTTTGGATCTTGGAAGTGGATTGCTAATAAAGGAACGGGACGTACTTCTCGTATTATTATTGGGTGGAATCCTAATCTTTTTAATGTTAACTTGATTGACCACAATGATCAAGTTTTTCATTATAAAGTTTCTTTTCCCCATAATAATAAGTATGTTTTCTGCTCTATTGTTTATGCAGCTAATAAATATATGGACAGAAGGGCTTTATGGGCTTCCTTAGTTCATCATAAAGGGATGGTCAAGAATGATCCTTGGCTGGTTGGAGGCGATTTTAATGTCACCCTTAATCTTAATGAGAGTACTATGGGATCCTCAAGATATTCTAGAGGCATGGTGGATTTTCTCGAGTGCATCAATTCCATTGAAATCCAAGACATCAATAGTAATGGGCTGAACTTCACTTGGAATCAAAAACCGAAGGGTACTGATGGTATTTTGAAAAAGCTTGACCGTGTAATGGGCAATAGCAAGTTATTAGATGAGTTTCCTTCAATTTATGCTTCTTTTCTCCCGTATGGAGTTTCTGATCACAGCCCAATTGTTATCAAATTACCAATGAAGATCAATTTTAAAGTGCTTCCTTTCAAATTCCCTAATGTCCTTACTTTGAATCCGGAGCTGAAGATTTTGGTGGAAAAGCACTGGAAAGTCGAAGTTCAGGGAATTAAAATGTTTTGTTTAATCCAAAAACTCAAAATTCTCAAGAAACCAATTCGCAAAATGTTAAAAAATCAGGGGCATTTCTCGGAAAATGTTAATCACCTCCGAAAAGAATTGGAAGCTGTTCAAACTGATCTTGATGCGGACCCTTTCAATATTCAGCTTCGTGAATTAGAAGTAATTTTTCTTGGAGAATTTAAAAAAGATTGCGAGAAAGAGGAAAACTTCTTAAAACAAAAAGCAAAAATCCATTGGGTTAAAGAAGGAGACAGCAATTCGAAATTTTTTCACAGAATTGTTAAAGGAAGATCTCACAAAAATAGAATTGAAGCTATCATGAATAGAAGAGGTGAATGGTTGGAGGGTGAGGAAGTTTATAAAGAATTCGTGGGCTATTTCAAAGAATTTCTCGGCTCTGATTTTCCCTGTTCAGATATTCATCTGCCTAATTCTTTACTATTTAAAAAATTAGATCTTGTGGATGCTGCTGAGATGATCAAAGTTGTGACAAATGAAGAGATTAAATCTGCTCTTTTTGATATTGAGGATGATAAATCTCCTGGACCTGATGGTTTCTCTGCTAAATTTTTCAAATCCATGTGGTCGATTTTAGAGGAGGATTTTTGTCTTGCTGTCAAGGAATTTTTTGCTAGTGGGAAAATCCTCAAAGAAGTGAACGCTACTGTCATTGCTTTAATTCCTAAAGTCGATTCCCCTAGAAAAGTCAGTGACTTTAGACCTATCTCCTGCTGTTCGGTTATATATAAATGCATTAGCAAAGTTATTGTGGCTAGAATAAGAAATCATTTGGGTTCTATTGTTGCTGAAAATCAGTCAGCATTTATTCCTGGTAGATCGATCACTGACAATATTCTTCTCTCTCAAGAACTCGTCCGGGGATATCATAGAGCTCGTGGTTTCTCTAGATGTGCTCTAAAGGTGGATATCCAAAAAGCTTATGATACAGTTAGCTGGTATTTTCTTCAAGATATCCTTTTTCTCTTTGGATTCCACCCAGCTATGATAAAGTGGATCATGCAATGTGTAACTTCTCCTTCGTATATGATCAGCATAAATGGGTCTTTCCATGGATATTTTGAAGGGAAGAGAGGTCTTCATCAGGGATGTCCTCTATCTCCCTATCTTTTTACCTTGGTCATGGAGGTTTTTAATTTGATTCTTCAAAGAAGAATAACAAATGAGCCGTTATACAAGTTCCATTGGAAATGCAAGAAGATTAAGCTCACACATCTGTGTTTTGCCGATGATTTGATGATTTTTTGTCATGGCAATTCGGCTTCGGTTAGGGTGATTAAAGAGAGCCTTGAAAAATTTGCTGGTGTGGCCGGTCTCCATCCTAATTTTTCAAAAAGCCACATTTTTTTCGGTAATGTCAAAGCTAATGTGAAGGGTAAAATTCTGGACACTCTTCCTTTTGTTGAAGGAAAATTACCTATGAGATACTTAGGAATTCCTCTAATTTCAACAAGATTATTCATTCGTGATTATAAAGGACTTGTTGATAAAGTTCGATGCAGATTAGGTGATTGGAGGAACAAATTCCTTTCTTACGCTGGAAGACTGCAGCTTATTTCTTCAGTTCTTTTTTTCTCTTCCAGTGTATTGGGCTTCTTGTCTTCTTATCCCAGCTGCTACAACTAAGGAAATTGAGAAATTGATGAAGAATTTCCTTTGGGATCGTGATGAGTCAAAGAAGGGAAGGGCTAAAGTTGCTTGGTCCTCAATTTGTAAACCATTGGAGCATGGAGGTTTGGGTTTGAGAGATCTTAGAGCTTGGAACAAAGCGATTCTTTCTAAGAGAATCTGGATGATCCTATCTAATTATGACTCTATTTGGGTTAAATGGATCAATACTAATGTTCTTAACGGGAGATGTTTTTGGGATGTTCAGAAAAAGCAAGATCTGAGCTGGAGTTGGAGAAATTTGATCAGATTGAGACCTTATTTTAGAAATCATTATTGTTCTAAGGTTGGGAATGGAGCTAATACTTTTATGTGGTATGATGATTGGCATTTTCTTGGAGCTCTTTCTTATGTCCTTTCACCTAGAGAGATTGCTAGTGTAGGATTCAGAATATCAGACAAAGTGAAAGATGTTATTACTGATATTTCTTGGTTTTGGCCTTCTGAATGGCTTTTGTTAATCCCTCAATTGAATGATTATCAATTGCCAAAACTTGATCCTTTGGTTGCTGATAGAGTTCTTTGGAGGAAAAGGAATGGTCAAGAGGTGGAGTTTGATATTCAACAAGTCTGGAAAGATTTAAGCAATTATGGTCAAAAGGTTTCGTGGGCCCATATTGTTTGGTTCAAGCAATGCATTCCTAGACTCAGCTTTATCCTTTGGTTGGCTATTCAAGAGAGACTGATGACTCAAGATAGAATGAGATTTTGGGATAAAAATAAGAATCTCAAATGTTCTTTATGCAACATGCAACCGGATTCGCATAGCCACTTGTTCTTTGAATGCAATTATTCTTCACTTGTCTGGAAAGTTGTGAAGGATAAAGTGGGGATTAGAAGTAATTCTCATGGATGGAAAGAGTTAGTAGAAGAATTTCAAGTCTTGTTTAAAGGGAAAAGCATTCAAATCTTTATAATGAAGATTGCTTTTGCTGCTTCTGTTTATTTCATTTGGAGAGAAAGAAATTGCAGACTTTTTAGAAAAGGAAAGACTGAAGAGATGAAAATTGCTTTGAACATTTTTGAAGAAATCCGCCTTAAGCTTATTGGTCTCAAGGGTGAATTTTTGGGGTTTGATAATGATGTTAAAAGGAAGTGGGGTGTTCCTGTGGGAAAGAAGAATAACGATTATTTTAATGATCAAAGGAATTGACGGTCTTGGGTTTGGCAATTTTCCTATAAAAATTGCTTTGCTTATCGGTTTGATCCCGATTTTTTTGAGGATTTTTCCTCTTGATGTGGATTTAGTCATGCAAATGGGTTTTATCCCCATCATTGGTTGTTTTTCTCCTTGGCAACTTGGAGTCTCCACTTTGGTGGGTGCCAATGCTAGTTCATTTAGCAAGTGGTGGGATAATTACCCGTCATCACTGCTATCCGGTTTATCCCGGATTTCATTGGAATTTTTTCCTTTGAAGTGGATTGTTTCTTATTGCATTTGGGTTCGATCCCCATTAGTTGGTGTTTTCATCCTAGGCAACTAGGATTCTCCACTTATATGGGTGACACTGCTAGTTCGATTAGCAAGTGGTGGGATATTCACCCGACAATACACGGGATTGGGTACGTTAACCTTAGACTGTACCAACCTCAGGTTGGTTGTTTCCTTTGTATCCATAAAAACAACCACTTTTGGAGTCTTATGGACCTTTTTTTGTTATTTGCTTTCTGGTCTATCCCAGAATTCATTGGAATTTTCTCCTTTGAAGTGGTTAAGTTTTTAAAGCAAACGGGTTTGATCCCCGTTAGTTGGAAATTTCTTCCTAGGCAACTAGGAATCTCCACTTTAGTGGGTGCCACTGCTAGTTCGATTAGCAATTGGTGGGATATTCACCCGTCAATACACTGGATTGGGTACGTTAATCTTAGACTGTACCACAATTGGGTTGGTTGTTTCCCTTGCTTTCATAAAAACAACCACTTTTGGATTTTATATCCTCTTTGGTTTCACCAAAAATTTAATCCAAACTGGTCCATCCCGGTTATCATTGGTTTTTTTTTACCTTTGATGTGGAATTTGGAGGTTTCATTCTTAATTTTCTAAGGATTAACCTTCAGGGGTATTTTCGGAATATTCCCATTAAAAAAGGAATTGACGGGTCTTACATTTTTGGATTGATTCATAAAGAGAAAGATGGCGATTTGGTTTTTTTTAAACTCGCGGATGTTGGTTCAATTGTGTTTATGAGCTGCTTAATTGCTAGAGGAGGGGTTTTTCTTCAAGGGCATTTTCGGAATATTTGGATTATTATATTGGAAGACTTGTTGAAGACTATTTGGCTTAGTTTGAGCAAAAAAGAAGTTGGAAATAAATTGAAGATGATTTGGAAATGGTGGGATTCGTTGGGATATACCGGTTTTAGCATCATACTTTCTTGGAGTTTTTTGGATTTTAAAGTAAAGAATGGAGATAAATTTAATAATTATATTTTGGAGAAGATTGGGAAGAATTGTATAAAGAGTAAAGCTCATATTTCAAAGTTGATTG